AAAACAAAGCAAATAAATACAATTGAGGTAAATGACAGATAACAACAAGAATCACACTGAGGTACCGCATCGTAATCTCATTTCACAATCACAATCATAATATTTTCTTATATCACCGCGGGTGCCTTATATTTTGTTTTAAAAATTATTTTTCCGAAATAGCTACCCACATTTTAACCCATCTTATCACACCGCGTGGCTTCAAGTAGTTCCCATACTAGCAACACACATATCAATCCCACCTTATCTCACGGCATGCGTATCAACTCCTATCCTTATACCACTGCATGCGTATCAATATCACAACATGTCACAACTCGCACCTCAAGTGCCCAAATTCCATAACTCTCCAAAAGAATTAACAACATAAATGTTTCCACCACAAATAGTTCATGGCTCAACCACAATGTGTACAAGAGTCTCAACAATAGCAACTAAAAGTGAATAGCTCAACAAGAATGGTATTTCAAAAAATTTATGACTTTGCCACAAGGTGATCACGACTTTTACAACTTCAACGCTAAAACTCAACAATAAGATATTCCAATAAATAACAACTTCAAGTAAGGTAACTCAACAACTAAATAATTAGCAAGGCAATAAGGAAACAGTAACTTTAACAAAGCATGTAAGGGCAAATGACAAGTAAGAGACTTGACAAGTATTTACAATGTCAAATAAAGTATGTAAGGAGAGATTAAGGATGATGGATATAACATGTTATGCCAATTTGATTAAGGGCATGAAAAAAATCTACAGAGCTTAAACCGGTCAATTACCTTATATAGCAAGTGTACCCACTCGTCACCTTGAGTACACGGCCTTCATGTACCACAAATGACACAAAACAACTCCAATCCTAAGGGGTAATTCCCCCACAAAAAGTTAGGCAAGATACTTACCTCAAACAAGCTAACTCAATCAACTAGTAAGCCTTTTCTCTGAATATCCGACTCTGAACGGCTAGAATCTAGCCAAAATAACTTTATACCATAAATACAAACCATAAAAAGCTATTCTGGATAATAAAGTTACAATCTTTAAAAAAATTAAAAAGTCAACTCAAAAAGTCAACATGAGGCTCGCATCTCGGAATCCGACCAAACTTACGAAATCCGAACACCCATTCAATAACGAAGTCCCACCATACTAAAATCATTCAATTCCGACCTCAAATCGACCTTCAAACCCTCAAAATATAGCTTATGAAGTTTTCACAAATTTTTCCAACTCAAAACACTAATTAAATGATAAAAAACAATGATAGATTCATATATAATAGTCAAATATGAGTTAAAATCACTTACCCCGATCAACTCTTTCAAAATCTCTCTCAAAATCACCTAAAATCAAGGTCTCTAACTCAAAAAATGAAAAATGGGTACAGACCCTCGATCTTCCCCTTTTCTGCCCAGTGGTTCCGCTTCTGCAGACCAATATCTGCATCTGCGGCTCCGCACCTTCAAAAATTCTATTGGAGGTGCGGCTTTGACTTATGCTAGGGCCAAGCACTTCTGCGAAAGGTCACTACTTCTGCGAAGGAAGAACTGCACCTGCGGTCATATCCCACTTGGCCAAAAATTGCTTCTGCAACTCACAAGCCGCATCTACGGTACTGCACATGCGGCCCAAAATGAACAGGTGCGATTGCACTAGACCTTCAGTTGGGCAGATTTCCTACCAAGTCTCAAATGGTTTCGGATTCAATCCGAATCACAACCGGGCCAATCACATCCGGGCCCCCGAGACCCAGTCCAAGCATACCATCAAATTCTAAAACACATAATGAACCTACTCGGGGCCTAAAATCACATCAAACAATCTACGAATCGAAACTCAATTCAAACCTATTCAAACCATGAACATCGAACTTCCAAAACTAACGTTGATTCATACCAAACCAACTCTGATTGACCTCAAATTTTGCACACATGTCATAAATAACACAACGAACCTATTCTGACTCCTAAAATTGGAATCTAACTCTGATATCAATAAAGTCAACTCTCGATCAAAATTCTCAACATTCCAAACCTTCAACGTTCTAACTTTCGCCAATTCAAGCCAAAATGACCTCCGAACCTCCAAATCAATATCCGATTTTAGAATATGACCCGTATATTAATTAAGTCATCTCTCGCTCAAAATTCTCAACCTTCCAAACCTTCAATTTTCTAACTTTCGCCAATTCAAGCTAAAACGACCTACGGACCTCCAAATCAATATCCGAATACGTTCCTAAGTCCAAAATCACCATACGAAGCTATCAGAATCGTCAAAGCTCCATTCTGGAGTCGTCCACATAAAAGTCAAACTCCGGTCAACTCTTTCAACTTAAGCTTCCATTTTTGGGACTAAGTGTCCTAATTCACTCTCAAACTCACGTGAAACCAAACCAATCATCCTGACAAGTCACATAACCACAATAACATAGAGGAGGAAATAAAGAGGGGAATGAGGCTAAAATACTCAAAATGACCGGCCGGGTCATTACAGAAGTTAAGCAAGAATTGAGAGCAAAATAACAAGGTATTTTGTGAGCAATTCCTGTGAATTTCAAGAGTGTAAACCTGAAGCTACATGAACCAGATTGAAGAACCAATTACATGTATTTGTCTTTAATTTTGGTTTAATTGTAGGAGGAGGTTTTGAGTTGTACCTTTAGGCTTTTCTTTAGAAAAAACTGTATTAGGTACTTGAGTTGTATCATTCAAGTTAGAGTTAAGTTGAAGATATCGCAACAGCATGTGGCGTGTTGCTACAAGGGTTAGAGCTAATCCTTAGGTTTGCAAGATTTTGCAAATATTATAGTTTGGCTCAGAGTTGTAATTAAGTGTTAGGGAAAATCCTACTAGAAAGTAGGTCGTGGTTTTTCACCTTTTGAGCCGAGTGTTTTCGATGTAAAATACTTGTGTTCTTTACTTTTTGCATTACTTACTCCGCAGTTGTAATTTAAGGAACGCATAAAAAAAACTAGGTTCTTCTATAATCTAATGCATGGGAAAATTAGACACCATACAAATCACCCATCTCGTGTGGTATTGAAGTATAAAACATCACTTAGTAAATTCATTTCCATCATATTAAACTATACATTGTTCATCTCAAAATCTGTAAATTGCACAATCTTAGCCTATTTAGGAAGCGGAGTTCGGTATGGTAGGATAAAGTCAATGGTCATGGTTAAATAATTAGGCTTAATAATAATAATTAATAACAATGATGGGAGATGGGAGATGTTTCACATATTCATGCGAAGTACTTTTTTTTTTAAACCCGCACAATCAATGAGTTGAGTTAGTTCCTCATTAACTAACGGAAACTCGACCCTTTTAATTTAAAACTTTGTATTTTAAAAGAATATAGCAAACTTTACAAAATTAAACACGGTGTTTGTCACCTTCTTGAAAAGTACATTTCACGTATGATTATTGAATTTTAATTATAATAGTAAAATCACAAGATTATTTTTTGACACATTAAAAAATCTGAATTATTTGTAAATTAGTCAAAATATACTAATGACAGGCTTATGACACATCACTCATTACGTCAGTGCTTTCCTATTCTGTAAATGTTACATCAAACAATTAAAACAAATTTACCATGTAAGATTTTTGATTACCCATATTTTAAACAATAAAAAAAAAAAAACTAATTAGAAGTTGGAGTTATGTGTACGAACACAATAGTCCGGAGTAGTACAAAGGTGCTATTATAGGTTTGTCACTATACTTTATAATTTAACGTGGCTACTCGACTAGGCCGCATTGATGAAAAAAGAAAAACTTCCCCCATCGCATCGTGGCTACTAGTCTCTTTTAAACAATGCAATGATTGAGGAAGAACATGTCAAAGCACGACTCCAATATGATTCAACTTATATACTCTCTCCGTTCCAATTTATGTGAACCTGTTTGATTGGACATAGAGTTTAAGAAAAAATAAAGACTTTTGAAATTTGTGGTCCTAAACAAATCAAAAAGGGGCCCAGAGTATTTGTGTGGTTATAAAAGTTTCTTATTAAGGGTAGAATTGTAAGTTTAAACTAAATTATTTCAAAATTTAGAAATGAGTCATTCTTTTTGGAACAGACCAAAAAGGAAATAGGTTCACATAAATTGGAACGGAGGGAGTATCATATTGCAAAAGATTTGTAATCTATCAGTGTAATTAACATGCGGTAACAAGTTATTCTGTCTTAATTTTCATATTATTAATTTTACTAATTATAATTATCTTTTAAAGGAGTCGATAATTTAAAATTTTCATTACAATTATTATTGTATAAAACAATAAACTCATTCGAATATGTGTGTGATGTATTTTTGATAAGCATTGATCCATCAATATTTAATTCTTTTGATTTTTAGAATTAATTTTTTATATTTAATAAAAATATTATTAAATTAAGTGATAGAATTCTAATTAACACGACATCTAAGATATATATTAATTAACTATATATAACTTTATGTAAACCCAACTAATAATATCATATATTTATTAATATGATACATGTATTAATATGAATAAATTTATGTTTTCTTCGGTCCCTAATCACGTGTTGCTAAATTTTTCTTTGCGCCATTAACGTATACACAGTGTAAAAAAGTACTTATCATCCATTAAACAGCCTATTTCTTTTTATTATTGCTTGGAATAGTTTATGTGATGTAAAAGATAAAACAAATAATATATCAAATAGGCTCGGATATATATAGCAAGCAAGAAGAAAGAAAAATAGAAAAATAGAGGTGCGTCTTTCTGGTGGACGAAAAATACTTGTGATATTTATGTATATGCTAATAAAAAGAATATATGATAAGTGCATTTTGCATTCAATTTCAAATAAGTATCACTTATCAAAAAAAAAATAATGTAATTTAAAAGAAACAATGAATATTTTTCCTTCAAGACTCTGGCCAAATCAAGGAAATAGAAAGGAGACAAGGTAGAAGATTACACTATATGTTAACCCTTAACACAATGGATAATTGATGTAATCCAATATGCTTATCCAAAATGACAGACACGAGACAGCGCACCAAACTATCAAAAGCAAACATTTGGTCAGGGAGGACTTGTAGTTGTAGCTATACCTTACAAGAAAACAAACATGTAACTTGTCGGTAGGACATGCTCCTAAATCCCCCACGTATAAATTATTGGCCAACTCTAAACTCTCACAACAGTATTTCTAATCTTGTAAAATAGGCTAATCCACATTTCCCCAGTCATGCAAGCCAAGGCCCTCTCCCACCCCCTTTCATGCAGTCCGTGGCGGCCGCGCCACCACCTTGTCCGCCGTTTACCTCTTCCCTCCGCCGTGGCCTTACACCGCCAAATGATTACCCACTCAATGCCAGCAGAAAAGTTAGAAGTGTTCAAGTCATTAGAGCCTTGGGTGACCCAAAGCGTTCTCCCTTTCCTCAAGCCCGTTGAAAATTCCTGGCAGCCCAATGATCTCCTTCCGAACCCATCTCAGCCGTCGGATGAATTCGTCGACGAAATTCGGGCCCTGAGGCAACGGACTTGTGAACTTTCAGACGATTACCTTGTAGTGCTAGTGGGAGATATGATAACGGAAGAAGCTTTGCCAACTTATCTGACCTGGATTAATACTCTTGATGGGGTTCGTGATGACACTGCATCCAGTTCATCTCCTTGGGCTATGTGGAGTCGGGGCTGGACTGCTGAGGAGAATAGGCATGGAGATCTGCTACGGACATATTTATACCTTTCTGGTCGTGTTGACATGAAGATGATCGAAAGAACTGTGCATCATTTGATTGGATCCGGGATGGTAAGTGTTCTTATTTCACTACGTACAAAGAGTATAAGATATGTGCATTAATGCGGCTAAACAATTTATGGGTTTAGATAGCTAATTAAAAACGGTAAGTAATTACCTCTAATACTCGATTAAATTATACTCTTAAAAAGACATGCATTTTGGTGTATATGGTACTTAAATACTCTAACAAAAGGGGTGGTGATTTTATATATGACTAGCGCGATGGGCGTGTAACTGTAAGATGCATATAAAATAAAATATATGCCCTTAAAAATAAAATTTTAATATCGAAGCTCTTGAATATGACAAATATTGAGTGTATTTAGTAATCCATATATTCCAGTTTATGTCAAACCTATTTCCTTTTTGGTCCGTTCTTAAAAGAAGGACCCCTTTTTAAATTTGGTAACAATTTAGTTTAAATTTATAATTCTACCCTTAATGAGAAGTTTTTATAATCACACAAATACTTTGGGTCCTTTTTTGACTGGTTTATGACCATAAATTTTAAAAATCTTTAATTTTTCTTTAAATTTTATAAATTTTATGTTCAGTGAAACATGTTCAGGGAATATAAAAAGTAGAGGCTAAGCATAAAACAAATGTCCTTATATGGTACACCACACAAAAGGAGAAAAGGAAAAGGTCCCCACTGACTCTTATTCATAAAGGGAAAGGACCCCCACTGGCACTTCTTCATTCAGCCTTGGCCGCATTGACAAACTCATGAACCACATCACCTTTACCATTCTTCCAAGGACTTCTTATGACTGAATGATCAGTGTATTTAAAAATAGCAGGATTTTCATGTCCGGTGTCCCATTCCCTATCCGCGAACGTGTTGACACCAAAATGAAAGAACATAATGAGTTCTCTTTGCTGCCATTTTAGTTGAGCGTAACTTGGTAATGGAAGAATTGGCAATGGAGGTGGTGTTATTTTAACTTCTTGCCTAGGAAATAGCAATTGCAATAAGGTGAAAATTGAGATGATTAGACATGACAAAGAACTATAAGGCTTAGCCATGAAACGTTTGCAATGTTGATAAATATGGTCATCTAATAATTCAGTTGTGAATAAGATAAATATGGAGAAGCTAGAGAATGAATAAGTGCCAAAGTTGGGACCTTTTCCTTTTCTCTTTTGTGTGGTGTACCATATAAGGAGATTCTCTTTCTGGGAAAAATAATTTATGTATTGTAAGATTTGTGTAAACTTGAAAAATAATTTTACCTATATGATGAATTTAGAAATGAATAAAATTAGATGATCTTTCTACTTAGTTAATTCAAATCCTGAGAAAAAAGGTAAATTCAAATACCTAATTATCTTTTTTAGTCACTAATAGAAATAATTTATTTATTGAGGATTTAAATTATTAATACTAGCTCATAGGAATAAAATAAATATTTAATTATAACTATATATAATTCCACAAAAATTCTTTTGTCAAATGATAAAAAGTCAGAACTTTTGCACTCTATGTTTGTCATAGAGTTAAATGACTCTTGTCCATCACTTTTCTCTCTCTCTTTCTCTTGTTATTATTAAATATTTTCGTAATTTTTTGTCTAATTAAGTTTTAAAATCTATATTAATATTTATATCTAAGTAAATTATTGATCGAAGAATAAATTAATAGCCAATGGACCAATCTCACATAGAATACTCATAGCATTTATAGGTTAATTACTGATTTGTTTACGTCATAATTTTCACCTAAAATTTAGCATGATTGTACAATTTCTTTTGAGCTAAAAAACGTTCAATAGTATAAAATTCATATATAAGGTAAAACATATAAATATTTGGTGTTATTTAATTATACTTTAATTTTAAAGTTCAGATAAAATAAGACTTTAATAATTTGAAGTCCTAAATATAAGGAGCTCTTGCTTAATTCAAATAAGAAAAGGTATAATAAGTAATAGATATTATTTAATTTTAAATTCCTAAATATTAGCTTGAAGAATAATTAAATGACTATTTTTTCTAGTGTGATATCTATTTTTAAACGGTAAAAAGCGAACGACATTTCGCTAAGGGCCTTCGTACTTTTAATATAGTATAGATTATGCAATAAAATTTCTTGGTAATAATTTTAGTTTCTTTTTTAACACGAGTTTTTAATTTAGGTATTTTTGCAAATTAAATTACGGTAATTAAATTTTTATCTAAATTAATTATTACTTTTTTCAAAAAATAATTACTCTTCCCTTAAACCTAATTCCGTGGAAAATTATAAGAATGGAAATAAACGAATTTAACAACCAAGCTTCTAAAAAATACTTTTCATTTAAATTTTAAAAACAACAAATAAATCATATTGAAGGGAAATAAAGAGGCAAAATTGGTCTTTCTGATAAAACTTTTCATGTTTTCTTTAATGAAAAACTTTTATAATCACATAAATATTTTGACATATTTAAGATCACAAGTTTCAAATTCTTAATTCAACTTCACCTCTCAAGGTTTTTATCGAATAAGTTTGCTAAAGAATGAAAATACTTTAATTTGGAAATGAACTTCAGCTAAAAGGGGATATTGCGTTGTAGATCAAGTTTTGATGTTCCTGGTAACTATATTCTCACGAAGGAGTGTTCATTAGTGATTGCATGCAAATTTACTCCTCAAAAGAGTTTAAAGTTTATGTACTAACAGTGCAATTTACACAATTATCACTTGTAAAGTTATTATATGTAAATTTCTATGATAAATTTCTCAGTATTTGTTAACCTGAGAAAAATAATAATTAACATGTTAAATAGGATAAATTATATCCATCGTGTAAAAAAGAATTTGCATTATCTATATATGTAGCTAGCTTAAATCCTTTATCAAGTGAAGTTAAATCCTTGACTTTATATATAGGATGTAGGAACAGAGAACAACCCCTACTTAGGCTTTGTGTACACATCATTCCAAGAAAGAGCCACATTCGTGTCACATGGCAATACTGCTCGTCTAGCCAAGGGTGCCGACCCAATATTAGCACGCATATGTGGAACAATAGCAGCGGACGAAAAGCGACACGAAAACGCCTACGTCAAGATGGTTGAGAAATTGCTGGAATTGGACCCAAATGACTCCATGCTAGCCATTGCTAATATGATGAGAAGGAGGATTACGATGCCTGCCCACCTAATGTACGATGGGTGTGATCCAGATCTATTCGAGCACTTTGCTGCTGTGGCTCAAAGGTTAGGAGTGTATACAAGTCATGATTATGCAGATATATTGGAGTTTTTGATCGATCGATGGGCATTGGAAAAGCTTGAAGGAATTAAGGATGAGGCAAAACGTGAGCAAGACTTTGTGTGTGGATTACCACCTAAGATAAAAAGGTTGCAAGAGAGAGCCGACGAGAGAGCTAAGAAGTTGGACCTGCGTCAAGTGAAGTTTAGCTGGATTTTCAACAAGGAAGTGAGCATATAAGAGAGTTCATTTGTGAAAAATGTACAAGATTAGCCACACAACCAAGCATTAAAGCTATGCCTAGAAATGGAATTGGAAAATGGTAATGGTAAGAATGTGTTGTGAATGCCTAATTTTTGCAAGGTTTTTCCAAAATAATAATAATAATAATAATAACTTTTGGATGATTTTGGCTATTTTAGTTATTTTTCTTTGAATTTATTTGCGCATTTTTATGTAGGTTTAATTAAAAAGTACTAAAATATTTTTACTTTTTATTTGTATATTTTAGTTTGCATCTCTAAAGGATTTTCTTTTTACTTGTATATTTATTTTAAGACTAAATAAGACAATAATTTCATTAGAGAGACAAGGGATTGGGCTAGTGTATTCTAATTAAAATTAAGCAAAAACTGGCCCAAATTTTGAGCCCAATTCGGCCATACCCAATCCAAAATGGCTGGCCAAGACTTGGTCCAAAACGGCATAGTTTCACATGTCGTTTCATTAAGTGAATCAAGATTAAATCTCATCCATTCATCTCTCCCTCATCCAATGGTACACAATCAATCTCCCAACTAGGTATTTAAGACTTAGAAATGCTAAAATTTTGCCCCCATTTCCCCCATAATTCTTTTCTTCTTCCTCTCTCTTCTCTCTCTCTCTCTCTCTCTCTCTCTCTCTCTTCTCTCTCTCTCTCTCTTCTCTGTCTATCTCCGCCTCTCTGCCGCCGCCGAAAATCTCCCAATTGCAGCGGCCCACCTCCGAACACCCCCAAATTTTCACCATGTAATTGCTAAGTGGGGATTTTATCTACTTATTATCTTTTAGCTTTCGTTTTAGTCCAAAAGCGCTTAATTGTGCTCCCAAAAATTGATGAAATGTGCTTAATTGCAGGAATATTGGAAGATGAGCTCCCAAGATGAAATCCAACTCAAGAAGGAGTAATCTGAACTTAAGGACAAAAACAGTCACAAAAGCTCATAAGTGCGGACCGCAAAATATCATCTGCGGCCGCAGGTGATAAAGGAATTTTCATTAGAGAATGGTGCAAAGTGCGGTACGCACATGAATTGTGCGGCCGCGGAAGCTAGGTCAGGAGAAAAGTTCAGAGAACCTGCATTTCAAGTCTACCAAAAGTGCGGACCGCACAATTATTGTGCGACCATAGAAGAAGAGTTTTGTGGCCGCAATTAGAAGTGTGCGGACCGCAGAAGAGCAAGATGCGGCTGCACATACAATTGTACGGACCGCAGAAAGAGTGTTGTGCGACCGCAGTTAAGAATTATGCGGTCACAGATTTCCAATCCTGTCAAGCTGAAGAAAAGTGCGGACCGCACATGAAATTGTGCGGCCGCAGAACCTCTGAAAGGGCATTTTTATCCGAAAATTCCAGCCCTGTATAATTAGAAGAGTTTTACTTTTTTAGGTTAACTTTTGACATCAGCAATTTTAGTAGCCATTTTTCTTTGCTTCTTTAGTAGTTTTTCATATTTGAGCTATTTCAACATAGAGTTTATCAATTTAATTTAGCAATATGAGTTTATCAGCATTTATTCTTCTATTTCTTCCATTTTGAGCATGAGTAGCTAGATTTTGACTAGAGTTGTAACACAACCCTAGTGTGTAAACTTAATGGGTGTTTAATTTTTTTGCTTGTTTATAGTTGGATGTTTATTATTTAGCCTTGTTCTTGATTTTATTTGTGGAATTAATGGTTGCAAATATTAGTTCATGCCTATTTGACTTGGTCTCTACTTGAGAAAGAGAGACTTAGTCTAGGAAAACTTTGCTAAGAAGAAATTGGGTCAATCGAGAGATTGATAATCCCAATTAAAGGGTTGAACCTAGAAATAGTAAAACCTAACTTGAGCTTTTTATCAACCATTTTGTTCAATACCCATTTGCACTTGAGAAAGCTAAATTGGGCAAAATCACTCTCTGACCGAGAGGTATTGAGTGGGTACTTGAGTGTTGATAGCTATAATACACCCCGGCCAATTAAACAAGCTTTAAAGTTTATAACCCATTAGGCAAGCACTTAGGTGAAGGTCATAGCCCTAGGCCTTTACAACATTTTAAAAACAACAAAAATAATCTTCTAGTTTTATTTTTTAAATTGCTTTCATAGTTTAAATTAGACTTTAAAACAACCCAATTCTATGGAAGTGCAAATTTAGATATACAAAATCACACGCCACGATATATACTACTAACTCCCATATCTATAGCTCCCTGCGAAATTCGATCCCGGCCTTTGTTGGGCATTATTATTGCATCGACCGTTTCATAACCTCGAATTGAGGAGTGAAATTGGACGAGATTAATTTTTGGTGCCGTTGCTGGAGAGTTAAAAAACTGTGTTAGCTATATATTTAGGTATGTTTTTGGCAATATCTTATTTTCCTTCCTTGTTGCTAACGTGTTGAGTATTGTAGGTGTAATCATGGCAAACAATGATCTTGGAAACGTAGCTTTGGGGGATGTGGACGTTGAGGATGATCAAATGGATGAGGTCTCTCTTGAACCTCAAGCCAATAGACGAGGCCGAGCGCCTCAAGACAATGTTCCCGCTCCACTCCCACCTCCATCACGAGCAGCTCCACATCGGGTGTTGCCGAATGAAGGGTATGCAAGTGTTATAGTACCTCCGTGTATTTGGGCGGGCAACTTCCAAATAACTAATGTGATACTTACTTTGCTAGAGCAATGGGGGTTCTTCATCAGTGTACTGGGTTAAAATGCATATAAACACTTGAAGGGGTTCGTAGATATGTTTTGGGGGAGCAAACAAACTAATATCTCCGAGGATGCTTTGAGACTAAGTCTTTTTCCCTTATCTCTACGAGGGAAAGCTTTATATTGGTTGGAACGTTTTCCAATTCATTCCATTCATACGTGGGATGAACTAGTGAAAACAATTATTTCCAAGTACTTCTCTCCCGGGCAGATGGCTATTCTTCAGGATGAAATTCTAGCATTCAAGCAAGAGTTCAATGAACTACTACATGAGATATGGGAAAGATATAGAGCAATGGTGAAAGAGTGTCCCAACAATGATATGACGGAGAACATGATTCAACAAACTTTCTATCGGGGGATCAATACAACCAACCAATGTGTAGTGAATCAACTTGCCGGTGGGAACTTCATGACTACACTTTATGCGGAGGTGTGTGAGATTATGGATGAGATGGCGGATACTTCATTTGCGTGGCAATCTAGAGACAATGTTCCACAAGGTGATCCCAATGTGATTCTTCTTCACAAAGAGTTGCATGATCATGGACAAGACATAGCCGAGTTGACTACCACCATGTACCAATTGGCAAAGGCTCAACTTCAACAAGTGCAAACCCCGAGTCAAATCAATGCAATGGAGGGAGTATGTATGATGGTGAATAAACAAAGAGCAATAAGTCCACAAATGCAACAAAGAGTGGACAATTTTGTACAAGATGACTCTTACAATGACCAAGAAGAGGAGGTCCAATATGTGAACAACTTTTAAGGGCAAATATACAACTACCAATGCCCTAGCCAACAACAATGGAGACCTCAAAATAATCAAGGCAATTGGAATTCTAACAACCAAGGTAATTGGAGTGGTGGAAATAATCAAAGCAATTAGAGTGGAAGCAATAATCAAGGAAATTGGCAAAACAATAATAACCAAGGCAATTGGGGTAGAAACAATCAAGGCGGGTGGAATAACAATCAAGGAAATTGGGGGTCGGTTTTCAAAGTCCCTCGATGTATCATCAATCAAGCAACCCACCTCCTTATCCTTCCCATGGTCCTAGTTCTTCCAACAATGAAATGGGCCGTATTGAGAACATGTTCAAGCAAATGATGGAGAAGAATGCTGATTCTGATGCCCAACTTTCTTTACACAATACATTGATCCGTAACATAAAGGTGCAAATGGGCAAATTTCTCAAACTTTGAATTCTCGTCCTAAGAGGGCACTACCAAGAGACACAGTGGTGAACCCAAAGGGTGGAAATAATACGGGGCATGCCATGGCTGTTACTACAAGAAGTGGAAGAGGTGGGAATGCAACCACCTCAAATCAAAGGAAACTTGTGGATGAAGTGCGGATTGATATTGATGACACGGTGGAAGAGACTCAAGAGGAAGTGAACCCATCTAGGGATCATGTGATTGATATACAGGAACTGGTAGTGCAAAAAGCTAAGGCACCATTTCCTAAGCCACCTCCTTCATATCCTCAAAGGCTTGCCAATAAAAATGGCGAGAATCAATTAAAAAAGTTCATTGATGTGATGAAGAGTCTCTCAATAAATGTTCCATTAGTTGAAGCCTTAGAGTAAATTCCCGGATATGCAAAGTTTATGAAGGATTTGGTGACAAAAATCGGTCAATGAATTTTGAAACCATCAAAGTCACTCACCAAGTAAGTGCAAGTGTGCATTCGATGGCTCATAAATTGGAAGATCCCAGTGCTTTCACAGTCCCTTGTACCATTGGAAGTGCCGAATTTGCAAAATCTCTTTGTGATCTTGGGGAAAGTATCAATTTGATTCCCTATTCGGTTTTCAAGACTTTGGAAATTGGGCAACAAAGACCCACATCCATGAGACTACAAATGACAGATCGTACAATGAAGAGACCATTGAGGGTGATTGAAGATGTATTGGTTCGTGTGGAGAAGTTCATTCTCCCGGTGGATTTTGTTATTCTTGATTGTAAAGTGGACTATGAGGTGCCGATTATTCTTGGTAGACCTTTCATTGACACGGGGAAGGCTCTTATTGATATGGAAGCCAGAAAACTCACTTTTCGGGTAGGTGATGAGAAGGTGGTGTTCCACGTGTGCAAATCTATGAGGCAACCTAATATCAATAAAGTGTGTTGTTTCATGGACTTGGTGATCGATGTGATTATTGATGATACAAGTGCCACGATTGATGTGGGTGATATGTTGGAGACCGTCTTGCTAAATTTTGATGATGAAGAGATGGATGGCTTCATGGAATATGTTAATTCTTTGCAAGGAATGGGGTCATACAACTATGTACCCTGGAAACTTTCCTTGGATCTTGAGAATATGAAAACTCCTCCTACAAAGCCTTCAATTGAAGAGCCGCCGATCTTGGAGTTGAAGTCATAGCCCCCACATCTCAGGTATGAATTCCTTGGCCTCTGTTCTACTTTACCGGTTATTCTTTCCTCT